CCAGGAAACCAGCTAACACGATACAAACTGAACGCTATGCCCTACCTACCATGCACCAGGTGTACCATTCTCTTCTACTGTAAGCATCACTGATACGCTACCCCAAAGGGTCAAATAAGTTTTTTTTTTTTGGTAGTTGCTAAAACAACGGCGTAACACACCTACTGCCCGTGAAATTCAAAAATCTATAGGTTTGAAAAACGAGCGATGTACTGCTGTAGCCTTCTTTCCATCTTCCATGATTTTACGTCAATATTATTTATTTCTCCTTAAATTCCTCAAACCAGCAAGCTGTCAATAGACACTGCGCCGTGTCCCCTGTGAAGGTTACATCTTACAGTACACGACACTACGGAGGGATTCTCCCCGATATTTTGTCGTTGACCCAGTAGAGAACTACAGGGGATGTTTTGTAAAATGTAGATTTACCTATACAGATGTTTTTGTGCTTAGCACCAGCTGGCATCACTGATAAATCATCAGTGTATAGACTTATAAAGACTCGAAATAAGTCCAGTACCCAGCCGGTTTTCCTCCACTTACTGAAAAGACTCCACCACATCCCGTTCGACTGTGGGTATATCTCGAATGGGTAGTCTTTCTGTGCGTGTATTTATTTCTCCTTAATTTTTTTCAGAAACTTTTTCTTGTCGAGACTCAACTGTCCGAAATGAAGTACTTCCGCTATTTCTGCAGGTACTACCGCCGTAGACTCGTCAGAACAAATTCGATATTTTTGTCGTTGACCCAGTAGAAAACTACAGGGGATGTGTACAATTGTTGTATACTCTGTAAAGTTGAAGTTTCCTGCACAGATATTTTTGTACCTAGCACCAGCTGGTATCACTGATTTGAATGATCAGTGTTAGACTTGCAAAAGACTCGAAATAAGTCCAGTACCCAGCCGGTTTTCCTCCACTCACTGTAAAAGACTCCACCACATCCCGTACAACTGTGGGTGTATCTCGAACGGGTAGTCTTTCCGTGTTCGTACATTTTTTTCCCCCTAAAATTTAGATCGTGAAAGGGACTCGAGGTGAAAGTATCTATGGTGAGGTGAATAGCTGTATGCATTAATATTCCAACACGTCCCCTTGTCTTCGCGGTTGGTGCTACAACTCTGTGACGTCGAAAGTTGAACATTCCGGGGGGGGAATGCCGCTCCGACGTCTATTTAGTGGTCAGATGTAGGATGCCGTGATGAGACTAACGGTCTATTTGCAGCTACACGTCTTCCTGCGGCACCGCCGACGTAGGTTTGTTGTTGTTGTTTCTCACATTAGCTCTATAGTCCACTAAAAATGGGGAGCCCGTGGTCTCAAAACCCGGCACATACGACGCCGCGGGAAAACAAAACAAAAATAGTGTACAAACCACCGAGGGAACAAGAAAACAAAATGATAGAAAGAAAAGAAGAGGTATCGGACCCACCGTTTGAGAAAAGAGCCCTCGGAAACCGATCAAAATAAAACAAACACAAAAATACAGGAGGACGATTCCCACACCCGCCCAAAGAAGTAGGTATAGGAGAGTTAAAGACAGCACAGCAGATTGGGCAGGTGAGAGCGTCTTGTGGGGGAGTGATGCGAGCTGTGTGGCGTGCCACATGAGCGCTGGAGATGCTGACGACGCGGCAGTCACACCGGCTGGTATATCTCGATGCTTCTCTCAACAGCAGCATTGATGCTTTGCTGCTGCTGTTGCGACAACAGCACCAATCCCTTGGTTATTGTTGGAATTTGGACGGCATTATATGTTTTGCCGTCTGAGATGCCTGCCTTCTTGGGCCTGTTGCCCACAACGTGTTTTGACACGCGAGGATACGTATAATCAACACGGGCGGGTCACAAACGACACCAACCTTGATCCCATCGCGAAATCATCAACGCAAGAAAGAAAACCAAGACGTAAAGCTGTCGAACAAGACCCACACCCACGGCTGCATGTACCTTCCGCGATTGGTTGTACGTGGGATCCCTGTGACCACGGATCGAGTCTTGGCTGGATTTGGGGATTACATGTAGCAACTGACACGAGTTTGATGTGAAGAAAACAAGGAACATCAACTGGCCGGATGCCGCCTAATAGGAGCAATAGTTTCCCTGAGTTTGATGATGGGTGTCTACAAGTAGTATTTATATAGTGCAAGCCAAGGGTGGCCCTAGATGACGCTCCTTCTTTCAACAGCCATACCGGGATTGTCTTGACTTCAGCCGGTGACATGTCCGGAATATGTACATACTTGCACGAGCCATCATAGGTCGAGGGAAAGTCATGGCACCATGCAACAACGAAGTGCTCGACTTTCTACATCACGACCTGCGTCCAGCTGGCCATGTGTTACATCGCGTCGTACAGGCACCTACCGGTAGGCTGTGCTTTTCCATGACAGTATATCGCAACAAAAGTGTGCAAACACGCTTGGGTGTATGGACGGTGGGGTGGAGTTCGCTTGCCGTGGCTCCCACGAACTCCACCAACAACATAAGACTTCACCACCTCCCCTTCGACTGCTGTTGTATCTCAAACGGGTAGTCCTTTCCGGCGATTTGTTCTTCAATTCTCCAAATAAAAACGGTATCCATCAACGGATGCCTGGGTGCTGTACAACAGAAAGTCCCAGCAGGTGGCACCGTAGGTTATGCTGCTGAACTCTCCTAGCTTGGTGCTTTTTTTTGCCATCTCTCGATTTTCCCCAGTGACGGCAGGCATTTTTTGTGCCTACCCTCTGGCGTCATCTTTTCGGCTTCTTGTGTGACCTTTCTCAGGGAGTCACCCAGAGAAGTCTCGTCATGGTGCATGCATGTCTTCCGTTCAATGCCGAATAAAATCGGCATTCCTCTTCGCCTCGGTATCATAGTTCACTTCTTTGTACCTAGCACTACGAAACAGCCTACGCACACGATCGTTTTGTAGCACGGCGATGCGGTTTGTGCGAGGTCCAGATGCTCGCACCCTCCTCTCTTCACGTTCCGCGAGTCTCGTTTTTATCGATAGTAACGTATGTAAGATACCCCTTTTCCATCACGTGTTCAGCGTGCCCCCTTTCTTGTATTTTGCGTTCTACTTCGAACACGTGAAGTCCAACACCATCAATGTACACACCCTTACCCTTGTTTGACGCCTCCCCTCCGTCCTGTTGAGGACGCGTGGTCAATGGTCTAACAGCTCAGGTATGCAAGACATAAGACATAATAGTACGCCCCCCTTCCCCCTCTCCGTCCTTTCGTCCAACTTTTTCTTTTTTTTTTCTTGCCAGGGCCAAGCAAGCTCTCTGGTGGACCGGCCGAGACGCGGCGATGAACAAGAGGGCCTGGCTCCACCACCTGGGGCAACCCGGGTGCGGGCGCGAGAGTGTCGGCCAGCAGCCGCGACCGTACCAACCGAAGCGGCATCGCTCATCGCCGTCTCACTTTCTCGGAGGCGGTCGCCACACGGCCGCCGACCGCGGCCTAGGCGGCCGCCCTTGGCCTTCCCACAGCAGTGCCGGTGGGTTGTTGAGCGCGGATACTGCCGACACCGCTGGGGCGGAGGCCTCGGGTGCCGTCGCCGCGGCGGAGGAACAATCGCTTTTTTTGCCAGCGGCAGTGGGCATCCTGGGGTGCAGGTGCCAGGCCTGTCTCACGGAGGGCGAGCACGAGCATGAGCACGAGCAGCAGCCGCCGTCGCCGCCGCCGCCGACGACGACTTACGAACCGCCGTCGCAAGCGCCCCAGCCGTACGATCACCGACCGCCACCGCCGAGAGACGACGCCGTCGCAGCAGCAGCTGGCGGGGGGCACGTGACGGCCAGAGCCGCGGGCAGGACGTGGGACGACGGCGAGAGGAAGGAGGAGGAGGAGGAGGACCTTGGGATGAAGGGGTCGAAGTCTTACTCACCAGCGTCGGTGCAGGGCAGCAGCCCATTGCTCGAGGCGTGCGAGTCGTACGATGACGACGAAGGCGTGTTTCCGACAGGCTCGTACTTCTTTTACGACTGACTGACGCGGGACCCGAGAAACGAACGGGGTTACTAAAAGACTACGGCGTGTTTTCCGTCATCGAGCTCGTGCTTGTTCTACGACTGACTTGTGAGGACAACGAAAGGAATGGGGTTCCTGCTGACTTTAACGACGATAGGCGCGTTTTTCGTCGGGTCTCGTCGTCCTTCTTCTACGACTGACGGACGGACTTCGAGAACCAGTAGCACGGGGTGATTGTTGCGGTCGTCGGAGCTCGACGACTCTTGTTGCGTGAGCACCACGCTTTGTGTTGTCGTTGAGGTTCGGCGTTGGGTGGCTACGCCGCCACCACCGTGTGCGGGCGTTGCGTCGGGGGGGTGGGGGGGGGGGGCGCACACGGCAACGACGCTTGCATTTGCTGCTCGTGTTTCCTGTTGTGGTGCTTCTCCTGAAGAGAAGGATGGAAGCATGACCTCACCTTTGGGTTTCCTCTCTCAACCCTCCCACCCGGTGAGTGCTTACGCCTACTTAAGGACACGGCACGCCAGACGAAGGTCCGCCTTTCACCGGTGCCGTCGCTCTCTACGGTCAAGGCACGATTTCAGGGACAAAGATGGATTTGCTTGTTTGAGCGTCCTGTGCCTCGAAAACGGGGCGTTGGGCGCGCAGCAGTCGTTCGTTGTGTGTGGTGGCACGGGCGGGAAGAAAAAATAGGTTTGTGGCGAAAGTTCGGATCAATCTACAGCTTTATCCCGTGTGTTCATCCGTGCGTTCGCGAGGGCTCCTTGGCGCCCTCGGAAAAACGGCTTCTTATTGGTAGCTCATTTCTGAACGATTTTGCCACAGGCTGGTAGCGATATATTAGTTGAGTTGTGTTTTGCGTATATGTAAATGGGTTTAGAATGCTGCTGTTTTTTCGTTAGTTTTGACCGTCCTTCGCGCAAAAGATAGAAGAAGCTCGTGTGGGCTCGTTTGACCGTGAAGTTGTGGGGCTTTTTGTTTGTTTTTCACTCTTTTCTTGCTGTCTGTTCCGTCGTTGTCAAATTATTTGTTGTTTTTTTGTCTCTCGATTTCTGTTTCCTTCACGTCGGCACGTGCGTGTACCATGCTTTTTTTTGTCAGCGGGAGCGAGTGCGTGGCGCCTACCTGTATATGTGTTCGACGTGACTGGCGTAGTTTTGTCGCACTTGCCGTCAAGGGCTGGCAGCTTTTACGCGTACGTACAAGCTGCAGCAGCAACGGCGAACTTCATTCCAAGTTTCGTGCCCACAGGCGTAACGTGCTTACAGCTGCAGCTGAGCATTCGTCAGACTTATATCCTAGATACCTCGGTTTGATAACATAGTTTCTTGTTCCATACATCATGCATCTGTTGCACTACATCATGTTTTACGTGGAAGGGCTGATTTTTCTTTTTCCATTTCGGCGCCATTCGTACCGGAATCCGATAGTATGCAACAACGTTCTTCTGGCATCTGGTAGCACAATTTTAACGCGAGATTGGGCGCTAGGGGCAGCAGTGGGTGGTGAGGGGAGGGTTCGAAGGTTGTCGAGGGTGGTTGGAGGCAGAGTAATACCGCACACGTCCACAATTATTTTCAGAAAATCTTGTAAACTTGAGTGTTTTTTTTGGAGGGTCTTTTGGGGGTGACTTGTCCTTCCTCACTCAGCGATATGTTTTACGTCCCACAGCGGTAGTAGTAGTGATACAATCGGAGGTTGTGGAAGGAGCAGTTGCTCGCTCGCTGCGACAGCTAGACTTGTCGCACTAGTTCTCTCGGGGTGCCGGCAGCTACCTTGCGATTTTTTTCTTGTCACAAAGTTAGAGAGCCATTTGTAAAATTATCAAAGGGGTTGGTTACGGGTGTAGGGTTGTGAGTGGAGTAGTGTTAGAATAGCCTGGCGATTCTGATGCCCGCGAGTCCCGGTGTTGAGATACGTCGAATAGGTGTACTGTGGTGGATAGAGCTCGCGACGCGCCGGGGGGTGTCTTAGATTATCTTTCATGTGCAAAAATTTTGGTAGTCGGCAGCCAGTAGGGTCTTTTGGTGGCACGACTAGGGCGTGGGCTACAATCCTTCGCTGCTTTGCTTCATGCGTAGATAGGTGTAGCCTGCCTCTCTCGGCTTGCTTCTTTTGCCACGCCTGCTGCTGTGGTCGTTCTGCGTAGGACGTCGGCGTTTCGAAAGTCTTGGTGGGCGAGACCTGTCTCATCTGTGATGGTTGGCAACGAGTGATCGTCGCAGAGAGAGGTGGTGGCACCGGTGTTGCGCATTTTTTTCGAGTAAGAAGACGAAGCAGAGAGAATGATGTGACGATGCGTTTTGGTTGTGGGCGTGCAACGGGTTGTTGCCGAGTCTCCCTGCATGACCCCGGCGAGGTCTCTCGCCTTCGTTGGACGTTGGTATTTTTTCTTTCGCGGATCGTGTCACGCCCGACCCACACACCCCCTCGCTGTCACTGTTGTGGAGCGAGTCGGGGAATAGGACGGCGGTGTCCTTTCGAAACCTACGCCACGTCAAAATTCGAAAACGATAGGTAGGGAAAGTGTAGCAGTAGTTATATAAGCTTCACAGAAAAAAAATGTGGTGGTTGCAAGACAGCACTACAAATAGTAGTTAAGCTTTCGCTAAGGAGTCTGTGCTGGCGTTTCTGTTATTTTTGGGCGAGAGGAAGGGTGATTTTATTGTTGTTCGATGTCGTTACTCCGGGGGCATTTTGCTACAAAACAAAAGGAAGAAGGCCATGAGCGGTACCGATTAGTACCGGTGGACCTCGTGATCATTTTTTGTTTAGCAACGTAATATTTTAGCGTATCATTTGTTTCTTTTCTAGCCGAGGCGTGTAGGAATGGGGCATCTGCGCTTGACTTTTGCCGGCAAAGCGAAGCTGGTCGTGCCTTTTCATGTGTCGTGTGTTGTTAATTTTAGCTCTTTTTTTTTGCGGGCACAAATGTAGGGCTCTGTGTTAAGTCGTGTTGTTGCAGTCATCACCCACTGCAAGCGATTTCTGTTGTGTGTCATGAAACGCCCGCGAGTGAGTGTGACGAGGTGGAAGAGCGGGCGGTTCTCGATGACTGGCGACGTGCGGAATGGGATGAAAATAGATTGCCACCATACATGTCATGTGTGGGTTTCCTCCTGCATACATGCGCATGTATACATCGGTTGGAAAACTGGTGCTTCCTTTCATTCTTTGAGGTGTTGGCAACGAATCAATCGAGTGGGTTGTTTTTTTGTTATGTTCTCATTATTTATTCTCGCCCCTCAAATGTATCATGGTAGTCTTACCGCCCAGCACGTGGTGGGCAGGTGCAAGCACACCGCACTTCGCTTGACACGCGACACACATCGATCGGGCACACTCTTTCGAACCTTTTCAATCCTACTGGTTTTCCTCTTCCCACGGCACTCTCCTCGTTTTCTTCTTGCTTGTATTCATCGTCACCGTGCTCGTTCTTGTGAATTCTGGAGGGTTTCGGTCTACAGAACTCTGTGCTAGAGGCTGTCTGTCAACTACTTCTACTGCTGTGCATCTCTCGCTCTCTCTTTGTTTTCGTAATAGATAGAGAGGAGATAACATAAAAAAACCATAGCATTTTCACCACACTCTTTACGTCCATCTCTACTATGTGCTGTACCTCTACAACACTGGAGGTGAAGAGATGGCCGCTGTCATACCTCCTTCCCATCCATCCATCCATAGGCCGATTTTCAGAGCTCGTCGATCGATTACTTTAGCAGTCTAGACTAGACTACACATCCAAGATTGTGCCAACACCGCAAAAAGTGGCGCTTAAAAATATCTCATCTTCGTCAAGGGCTTCCCGGACGTATCGGGCTGTTTCCGCAGCCCGTTTCTTGTGGGACAATCAATCGAGCTTTGAAACTCGGTCGTGGGGGGAAACTTCTTTCTTCACTTCGGTGGGCGCAAGAGTCAGAGAGAGATAGGCTCCAGACTCTGTGTCTAGTTCACAATATTCCCTGGATGACATGTGTACAGACGGAAGCCGCGAAGGTAGAGGGGGGAGTACCCTGGCATGCGGCGGTGGTGCTGCAGGTAGCTGAGAGGTTCATGACCTCCTGGCACGAGAAGGAAGAAGAGGCCAGCCGACAACGGGCGCTCAAACGAAACCACAAGCCACCAACCAATGGGGCGGGAGGGGGGTAGGAGACGGACGAGAGGGCGAGGGAAGAAAGCAAACCAGAAGAGACGGACCGAGTGGCGGGATACGTGCCGGATTGAATTACTTTTGGCCAACTTCCCCCCCCCCAACGCTGCACCATTGCACCAACCCCCCACTAGTGATGACGCACCATTACAATGTATCGCTGGTTGATGGCCATGTTTGGGTGTTTGCTTGTCGTCGTCAGTGGCCTCTCCACCGTGTGCCTTTTTCTGTCTCTTCTTTCTTCTTGTTATTTTCGGCCTGGTGGTCCCTTTTTGTCCTCGCTCTTTTTATTTCATTTTCTCTTTTACTGTTAGACTAAACAGTAAACAGTTTCCTTTCATTTTCTTCTCTTCTCTTTTTGTCTTGTTCTCTCGTTTTGTGTGCCAGATGGCCTTGTCTCTGCTTGCGTTGTGAAGTACCAAAATTGAACCAAGGGGGTGTACCTCATTCTCTCCGACCCGTGATGGTGACCCCTAGTCTCAGTTGTTACCTCGCATACCGCGCAGAGGGAGTGAGTGGAGGACTCCAGAATAATATCTGTCGTTGATTTCTATTGACTTGCGGACCCCCTCGGGGCCATGTGAGTGTAGTACCTTTTTAGGATAAGTTAGTCTGCGACCAAGGGAATCGACCGCGTCGAGTGTTGGGTCAGTACGGACATACGAAGGTACTGGGTAGATAGCAACGTACGTACATGGCATATGCATGTTACACTTACTTGTGTGAAGAGGTGTGTCGCGAGGCCGCGAGGCAACACTCCTTTCCTTGCGCCGTACTCAGAGTACCGTGGTATTGAATAACCACTGCTGTTATGTTGTTGTTGTTGTTGTTGTTGTTGTTGTTGTTGTTGTTGTTGTTGTTGTTGTTGTTGTTGTTGTTGTTGTTGTTGTCTTCACAAACCGTTCCGATCTCTCTCTAGACTTGACTATCTTCAGTAAAAAGTAGAAGGGGAAAGGCCTATCGGAGGGAAGTAGAAGAGTAAGTAGTTGTTGTTGTTGTTTTCTTCACATTAAAAACCGTTCCGATCTCTCTCGACCCAGTACCTTCGTACAAGTATGTCCGTACTGATCCAACACTCGACGCGGTCGATTCCCGTGGTCGCAGCCTAACTTACCCTAAAAAGGTACAGCAGCGGGATGGTGCCAATTTTCTGCAAAAACCTCGTCGCGTACCCCCCCCC